TTTGCCATGAGCAATCAGAATAACCTCCGTCGCCAAATTGTTACGCTCAACCGAAATCAGAACAACAGTATTGCAAATGAAAGTTTAGTAGAAGCAATGGCAATAGTACATCGGCAGTCTACACTGGCTACAAGATCAACTGTTTAGTTTTACCCAGTCCACATGTTATAGCTAAGCACTCGCTTTTGAACCAATCAATAGGCACCGCTGGTTAGTCGGGAGATGGACACTCACGCACCAGCGCGCACAATGCAGCTCCACAGGCTAGGTAGTGTAGCATGACCTTGACGCGCTCAACGTCTGTATCACGGCCGTTTCCATTTCCAAAGCGCAATATTTGCAAGGGTCTACGAATAGACATAAAGCCATCAAAAACCATGGGGTACAGAAATAATAAAAGAAAACACAACACAAAACGTCGAAGTTCATTGTTTCGTCAGTGGGCGAGATACTACCCGGTTGCCCAAGCCGAAGTAGGGTGTTGAATTAGCGGACACCTCCCCGAGCCTTTGGCTGGATATCCTGCCCGCAAGTCAGCGTAACGAAATCAGGGAATCGCACCCATTGGGAGGCGGTGACTGATTTCTCAGTTCATACGCCTTTCGTTTGTTCATTTGTCAAACATGGGCCCAATGCTCCCTATAATTACAGCACAAATTTGCTGGGATACAATGATTCGACAGGATGAAGCAAGAGGCAGTGACTTTATTTAGTGGCGAGTCACGTTCGCCACGTCACAGTTGTTAAACAGATGTATGTGGTTTTTTATAAGGAGAACGCTTTCCAGGCGAAAACCCACCACGTCCTGGATCACTGCCGCCGAACCATTTGCTGGAACGTGCAAATTCCGAACCACCCAGTTGGCACCACGAGGAGGTTGTTCTGCAAGCCAGCCTCCAAAGCACAATAAATCCGCCACGCTTCGCCGTCTCACTTCAGGTTAGTATGCACTTCCGCCCTGAGGTCATTGTGAGTCTCGTTGTGTCCTCTCCTAGCCGGAATGTATCGGTGAGCATCCAAAAGTTCCAAGGAGTGCATAGGGACCCAATGTCCAGGTTGACAACTTAATTTGCCTGATATCAATAATTTCTGGTGGATATGCGACCATTAGCCCTCCTCTATGTTCAGATATCACTTACTCAGCTTGGATGCCACTGTACTTTGATATACATTCGGTATATCTGGCTTCACCAGCTGGCAGGTATCTGTTCACTTGCAGTTACGCCGCATGTACCCACCAAAGGGAACTGTAAGATCGGCACAAACGAGCGTGTGGTCAGAGTCCACGTTCGTGCTCCAAATTGAGCGACAGTTTTTGACACAGCCTCTCCAGCAGTAACGGAGCGCAATGAGAACGCGCAGCCTGTGTCCCTTGTGGGTTATCGAAAGCTAATTACGGAACTCGCACCTTGCAGGCGGGTTTCCGATAAGCTGCAGATGTCGATCGATAGGCCCTCTAATATTCGAGCAAGTGTTGTCTGTTGGCCAATCTGCAACAAGGTGAGCACGTTGAGATATGCCAGTCTTAGTAAAGACCACGGACTCCAAAGAGAAACGGATGAGCTGACATTGTTCGCTTACTTGAACATGGACTTATCGACTGGATTGGAGCGACGCCCTGTGATTTTGTGTGAGTTCAACCTAGAAGACAAGCGACTATTGAAGCAAGCTGCGGAAGACAAAGCATTGGAAAGTTGAAAACTGGGGGTAAAAGTGAACTCGGAGTGGGACGACAAGGATGAAAATGCACAAAAGGGGGTAAGCAGAAGGGAAGGCTTGAGCAGTGGCATCCTTGCCCCTATTCACCCTGCTCGATGCAGCAGATAGGACACCGTTTATTATCATCTGTGACGGCCAGGGCATCAAGAAATCATGTGAAGGGAAGTTCATAGAGCTGTATTGCGCGAGCAAATACTATCAGGTTGCCCAGGCCTAGACAGGAAAGCAATTAGAGTTCTCTAATAAATCCTTTGGTTCAAAAACCTTACCGCAAAGCAGCAGGGTTTCGGCACTTGGCTACAGAGATTTCGGTTCATAGAATAAGAAGCCACGTTCACTCTAATCCTTTAACTGGAGGGCCAGGGGAGTGAGTTTGTTAGGCCTCTAATCACTGACTAATCTGGTATGAGGCGCTCTGAATGTGCAAAAACCACCTCCCAACTTAGCTCAGGGGATCGCTGAGGCACGTAAACAATTACACCACTTATAGTCTAGTCTAGTCGCGATAGGTGCAGGACCACCAGCCACTTGATGACCGCTTGATCCCTGATAGCAAGGAACTTGAGGTAGATGCTCAATTCACTTGGCATCAGCATCAGCAACAATGGACGCATATCAGCTGAAGTCAGTTCACGTGTTGCACAAAGCTAGAATTACCTTGAATCTGCAACATCTGACGACAGCGAAGAATTTTCCTTGGTCTGAAACGCCTTATTTACTAGGCCTCAGTGAGGCCGTCCTACCCTATGGAAGTGAAACTTGTCCTGTGCGTCCTGAGGATCTGAGACGCCTTCAAGTCTTTGTTCGTCATTGTTTGTGAAGCATTGCTGGTGTCGGATTGCACCAACCTATCCGCAACGATAATGTGCCT